TTGCTAGGTGAAAGAATGCACATTTTTATAGCTCTTGATACATATTGCCATGTTCCCTAAAGAAAGCTATAATACCAACTTTTTATTGAGCTAACTCTATGCTATACTTTAGGTATTATAAATTCATTAGTCCTTGCAAAGACCCTAGAAAGTAGCTATGACCTTTATATAAAAGATAAGTAAACAGACACATAGAAAGGTTTTGTCTTTGAACTTAGACCATTAAAGAATTAGTAAATGATAAAGTCAGATTTGAAACCCAAGTTTTGAAACTCCAAAGTCTGCATATATCATAAACTTGCTAGTGTTCCAACTAGGAGTATATGAGAATGCCTGAATAAAAAAATAATTTAAACTGGAAGGAGCCTTAGAAATTTTGTCCAACATCACTGCTGTTCAGTGAGAACACTGAGCCCCTAGTAGAGATAGAGGCCAAGTTAAAAAGTCATGTAACTTTTTAGTAGCAGAATCCCCACTAAACTAGATCTCCCAATACCAGACCTTTTTTCCGTCACTCCATTTATTTTTTCTTCCTGGAAATGTAGCTTCAGTGTTTCTTGCTTATCTTAATAACCTCTGCTGGCCTCTCCCTAGTGGTCTAGTGGTTAAGATTCGGCACTCTCACTGCTGTGGCCCAGTTCCCAGTCAGGGAACCACACCACCCATCCATCGATTGTAATACTATGGTGGCTGCGTGTTGCTGTGATGCTGAAAGCTATGCCACTGGTATTTCCAATACCAGCAGAGTCACTCATGGTGGACAGATTTCAGCAGGGCTTTCCACACTAAGACAGACTAGGAAAAAGACCTGGCCACCCACTTCCAAAAAAACTGGCCATGAAAACCCTGTGAATAGCAGCAGAGCATTGTCTTATATAGCACCAGGAGGTGAGAGGATGGTGCAAAAAGACCAGGCAGGGTTCCACTCTGCTGTATACAAGGTCACGAAGAGTCACAATCAACTCGATGGCTCTAAAAACAACAACAAGCTGGGACCGGCCCAGTGACCTAGTGGTTGAGTTCAGTGCTCTCTGCTTTGGTGGCCCAGGTTCGTGGGTTGGATCCCAGGTGCAGACCTACACCACTCCTCAAGCCATGCTGTGATGGCGACCCACATACAAAATAGAGGGAGATTGGCACAGATATTAGCTCGGAGACAATCTTCCTTAAGGCAAAAAGAGGAAGAGTGGCAACAGATGTTAGCTCAGGGCCAGTCTTCCTCACCAAAAAAACAACAACAAGCCTATCCCAGGTAACTTCTTAAAAAATGAAGATAGGGGCCGGCCCAGTGGCGCAAGCGGTTAAGTGCGCGCGTTCCCCTTCAGCTGCCCAGGGTTCACCGGTTCGGATCCCAGGCGCGCACCGATGCACTGCTTGGCAAGCCATGCTGTCGCGGCGTCCCATATAAAGTGGAGGAAGATGGCATGGATGTTAGCCCAGGGCCAGTCTTCCTCAGCAAAAAAAAAGGAGGATTGGCAGATGTTAGCCCAGGGCTGATCTTCCTCACCACAGAAAAAAAAAATGAAGATAAGCTTTGATTGTAGCCATATAGGAAAGCTAAGTAAAGGAGCTATATCTGAGCCTTCACTGGGCTTCTTTTCAGGAAGAGGTAGATTTGCATTCCTGTTACGTGAGTTAGGTGCCCAGGCTGGCCTCTGAGATGATACTGGCAGCCTTCAGTGACAGTGCCTCCCTTGGAGCAAAGCAGCAGTGAAAAAGCAGCTGGAATTCTGAAAGTGACCTTGGTACAGCCAGGACCTGGTTAAGAGTCACTAGTCAGGATGTAGAGCTAGAAAAGGCCTAACTTAGTGAATGTCAGACTAGTAACTGGGATCGGATAATACAAACAAGCAAATTTCAGAAACCAAATTTCTACAGGCAGTAGAAAAAACTGATGTTCCAGAGATGTCAGAGACCCATCACAATCCCTTAGACAGGCAAAAAGTATTTAGTCAATGGGATTAGATATGACAGGACAAGGATCAAGCAGGAGTCCACACACACATTCACTCAGGAGATCTGACCTCTAAAAGCCCCTGGATCCCCTTCTAGATGTCTTTGTGATTCCTCTGGAGCAGGAACTAATCCTGGTGAAGATTAGTTTTCAGATAGTAAAGTGAGTGCAGCTGCTTGAGGTGGGCATGCAGGGACAGAGGACCATCGACAGCTTCTGGGAGCAAATCCCGAAAGGCCCTGAGCCACACCAGTGTCCCCACAACTTTTGTGTCTCCCACAGACTGACTTGCGTTCGCCCCACCTGCCCCAGGACAGGCTCTTGGCTGTTCACAGTGGAGCATTCACATCAGTAAGGAAGAGTGGGGTGAAAGCTGTGGACATGTTTCAGAGTTCTGTAAAATGAGGATTCAAAAAGTGTTTCTAGGGAAGGTAGGCTGAAGTATGAGAAGCAGGAGAACAGTCTCTGCTATTTAAATCAGGGTAGCACCCACCTCATAATTATTGGGGAAGTACTGTCTATAACTCCTTTTTTCTTTTCTTAAGAGATACTTTTGGCTTTTATTTCCTTTTGACCTTCCATAAGCAGAAGGAGATCATTCTAGTTGCTTGCTAGCTTTTCTGGAGATTTGTGTGACCTACACCATGACTGGGGTTGAGGCTTTGCTTCCATTGCTTGATTTGTTCTTCACGGAAAGTACCAAGAGTGTGGAGGTCACTGTTCAAACCTCCTTTGTTTGAACTGTGTGGTTTACACAGCCTTTCTTCTGTTCTTTGACCAGATCCTTTGTATTATAGCTTAGTTGAAACTAAGCTTTCAGCAGTAGGTTTTAGGCGAGGTCAGTTTTTAGTGAATGGCTAATTCTTTTTTTTTTTTTTTTTGAAGTGTACAATTCAGTGTTTTTTAATATATTCGCAATGTTATACAATAATCACCACTATATAATTTCCACCACCACAAAAAGAAACCCCAAATCCATTAGCAGTCACTCCCAGTTCCTCTCTCCACCCATCCCCTGGCAAACACTGATCTACTTTCTGTTTCTATGAATTTGTCTATTCTGAACATTTCATCTAAGTGGATCATACAATATTGGCCTTTTGTGTCTGACTCCTTTCACTTAGCATATGTTTTCAGAGTTCATCCATGTGGTAGCATGTGTCAGTATTTCATTCCTTTTTATAGATGAATACTATTCCATTGTATGGATATACTACATTTTATTTACCATTCATCAGTTGATGGACATTTGAATTGTTTCCACTTTTTGGCTATTAGAATAATGATATTATAAACAAGTGTGCAAGTTTCTGTGTGGACATAGGTTTTCATTCCTCTTGAGTATATACCTCGGAGTGGAATTGCTGGATCATATGGTAACTCTTTGTTTAACTTTTTTAGAAACTGCCAGACTGTCTTTCCTAGTAATAACAGTCTTAACTCCCTTTACAGATTACCTAGCATGCATGTGCATCTTTGTGTATATTCTATTTAATTCTCATAAAATTCTCTGAGGTTGTTAATGTCATCATCATTACACAGATGACCAGGTGGAGGATTTTAGGTTAAGTGATTTCCTGAAACGCCGAAGGGCTAAGAAGCGATGAAGCTGGGATTCGAGTCCAGATATTTGGACCCTGAGTTTAGGGCTCTTTCCGCAGTAGCACTTACTAGGTGAAGTGAGTCATCACTGTATTTCCCAGATTCATTTTTCATGCTGTTGTTGGTTTTGCCATCTGATCTATATTATATTAAAAAATTGGTCTTAGTCCTTTGCGTGCTTATGAAATAGTAACATGGGCTCTTATAAAAGTGCAAACACTATAGTATTATATGATATGAAAAGTGAAAACCCCTGTTTATCCAGCCCCATGGAGAGCTTGCTATTCATAGCTTGGTGTATATTCCACCAAAATATTTTTCAATACTCAATAATATACTTTCATAATTATTACTCTTTGGTTTTTTAACCTATTTGCTGTACATGCTGTTTTGGTACTTGCTTATTTTCTTGCTAACAGTATATCTGGGACAACTTTTGCTTTTGGAACAAATAGATCTGCCTCCTTCTTTTTTCCTTTCTTTTTTTGTTTTTTATTGCAGTGACATTGGTTTATAACATTATATAAATTTCAGGTGTACATCATTATACTTCTGTTTCTGCGTAGATTACATCATTGAACGGCTAATTCTTAAAGTCACCTTAACTAAGTAGGTCAGAGAGCATTTTCGCTATTTGTCTCTCATAGTCATAGATTAATATATTAACTTAATTTTCTTTCTTCTATATTTAAAAATATTTGGCAGTTTTCTATAGATCTTATGGAAATAAGTTATCTTGTAGTTAATATATATCCCCTGTCACATAGTAGATAGTAAATTTTTCATGAATAAATATTGTACTTCATTTTGGTATAGCCTAAAATAAATTAAGAAGGTCGCTTATCACTGGTAATAGGAATTTAAATTTTATTTGGCACAATGTAGACGTTTTTCTACATACATGTGACGTTTCATGAAATATTTATTTTCATCCATTGATTCAACAAATATTTATTCATTACTTACTAAGTGATGAGTTTGGTACTAGGTAACAACAATGAACAAGATACACAGCATCTGACTCATGGGGTTCCCAGTCTATTACTTTTATAAATGTGTTAAATATTCTTCTAATACTAATATTAACCACCATGTATTGTGTGCCAGGTAATGTGTTAAGCATTTTGAATGCATTATCTCATCTAATCCTTCTAAGAACCCTGTGAAAAAGATGGTATTATACACCCTTTTTTTTACAAATGATGAAAGTAAGATAAGAAACTTGCTCAATGTCACATCACTCTAATAAGGGACAAAGCCAAGACACAAACCCAGACATGTCTAATTTTAGATCCCTTCTAGTTTGTCATCTACTTGCATTGAATCTTTGACATTATAATTTGGTGCCTCATGTTAAAATAAATATTTAATAGTAAAATGTTATTAATTAGCATGAGAACACTAATGTCTAAGGAATCTATTTCTATGCCCACACCTTTCTCAGGGAGAAACCCTGCACAAGTCAACCAGCAGCAGCAGTGTGTCCCCCTCCTTCCTTGAAGATCCTTTATTGGAGGCTGTGTCCACGAGAAAGAGTGAGTATTTGTGGCACAAAGAACTAGCATTGGATACCTTTAAAAATACACTTGACCAAGGGGGCCGGCCTGATGGCGTAGTGGTTAAGTTCACGTGCTCCGCTTCGGCAGCCCGGGCGCAGACCTATGCACCTCTTATCAAGCCATGCTGTGGCAGCGTCCCACATATAAAGTGGAGGAAGATGGGCATAGGTAGGTGTTAGCCCAGGGCCAGTCTTCCTCAGCAAAAAGAGGAGGATTGGCGACAGATGTTAGCTCGGGGCTAATCTTCCTCACAAAAAAAAACAAAACAAACAAGCAAAAAAAACACACACTTGACCTAGAATAGGGAATCCCAAACTGCCTTGTGATCATTCAGAGTAGAAAGAACTAACCCTGGAATTTCACTAGTCAGGAGCAGAAACATTCAATTATTTTCCTAGAGGGACATCATGAGTAGGGCTAAACTGATAACTGAGCCTCAGCTTCTTAACTTATAACAGATCAGTCACCTTTGGTTTTACAGATAATAGTTGTAGGGAATAAGTCAACTGTCTGGTGTATTTTTTAGATTAATTACCTTCTTATCTGACTTTAAGTCAGAAGCCCTAAATAATCACACTTATCATCCCTGCCCCACACACACATATACATATCCATACCTATGTACATGTATAGGTAATAAAAACACCTTTATAACTCTTTAGGCAATATGTTCTGAACACAGAATCTAAAGTCACTTCTAAATGCTTTTAGTAATCTTTTTTATTTATAAGATCATTATAAAGGATTAGAAATTATATATTAAGGGGAAAGATTCTGGGAAGATGGCAGAGTAGGAAGCACCAGGAATCTGTCTTCCTATGTAGACAGCAATTGCACTGATAGAATCTGTCTGATGTAGCTATTTTGGAACTCTGGAGTCTGTTGAAGGCTTGCAGCTTCCAGGGGAAGACTTGGATGGTAAACTGTGATTAATTTCAGTCAATTTCAGCTCTTAGCACAGTAGCAGCTACTCATCACCCACCCCTATCCACACTGGTAGGCAGCTGTGTACTGTTCTGGAGCAGTTTGCACACAGCTTGCAGGAGCCAGGGTAGGTAAAAAGGACCCTGTCCTCCAAATATTAGGAATCCGTGCTCTGATGGCTGATTGCTGCTTCTGATTCCAAAGGTACAGAGAGTGTAGGCAGCCATTGTTGCCTTATTGCTAGCTCTCCCCCACCCCCAACTGAAGTGACTTCTAGGAGATTTAAAGGGCTGATGCCCTTCCCCCCCTCCTTCATTTTTTGCTTTTTCCTCTTTTGGGAGCCAGACCTTAAAGACTAGGATATTCAAAAACAACTGCATATATGGGGAAGATTAGAAAGTGACTATGCAAGCCCAGGGACTGACTCATAAAAGACCTGAGGAGATCTTAAGTTTACACTTCAGGCTGATCTTCAGCACAGAGACAGCCTACAACAATAAAAAAAGTAACAAAAAATAGAAGACTCTGAGAAGAATCCAGTATCCAGAGTTACCACATTATTAGATTCAAATGTCCAGTGTTCAAAAAAAAATCACAAGGCATATAAAGAAACAGGGAAGTATGGCCCAGTCAGAGGAAAAAAATCAACAGAAACTGTCCCAAAAAAAGAACTGATGATAGATACACGAGACAAAGACTTTAAAACAACTGTTTTAAAGGTGCTCAAAGAAAGAAAGGAAGATATGGAGAAGGTCAAGAAAATGATGTGTGAACAAAATGGAAATATCAATAAAGAGAATACCTAAAAAGAAATTCTGGAGCTGAAAAGTACAATAACTGATAGGAATAATTCACTAGAGGGATTCAAAGGCAGACTTGAGTAGGCAGAAAAAAGAATCAATAAACTTAAAGATAGCACAGTGGAAATTATCGAATCTGAAGAACAGAAAGAAAAAAGATTGAAGAAAAGCAAACAGACTAAGGGACCTGTGGGACACCACCAAGCAGACCACATATGCACTATGGGAGTCCCAGAAGGACAGGAAGGTGAGAAAGGGGCAGAAAGAATATTTGCAGAAATGGCTAAAACTTCCCAAATTTGATGAAAGACATAAATATAAACATCCAAGAAGCTCAACTAAGATGGACTCAAAAAGACCCATACTGAGACACATTATAATCAGACTTTCAAAAGACAATCACAGAGAGAGAATCTTGAAGGCAGCAAGAGAGAAGCAAGTCATCACATACAAGGAGTCCTCAGTAAGATCCTCACCATATTTCTCATCAGAAACTTTGGAGGCCAGAAGACAGTGGGCCTATGTATTCCTAGTACTAAAAGAAAAAAAACATCAACCAAGAATCCTATATCCAACAAAATTGTTCTTCAGAAGTGAGGGAGAAATCAGGACATTTCCAGATAAACAAAAGCTGAGGGAGTTTGTGACCACTAGACCTTCACTGAAAGAAATGTTCAACAGAGTCCTACAGGGTGAAATGAAAGGACACCTAGACAGTAACTTGAAGCCATATGGAGAAATAAAGATCTCAATAAAGGTGAATACATGGGCATTTATAAAAGCTAATATTATTGTAACAATGGTTTGTAACTGTACTTTTTGTTTTCTACATGATTTAAGAGACTAATACATTTAAAGAAAAAACAATTGTTAGCGTAAAAGCTAATATTACTGTAACTTTGGTTTGTAACTCCAAATATTGTTTTCTACATAATTTGAGAGACTAATGCATTTAAAAGAATTATTAGTCTATATTTTGGGGCAGACAATGTATAAAGATGTAATTTTGTAACACCATCAACCAAAAGGGATGGAGATGGAGCTGTATAGGAGCACAGGTTTTGTGTGTTATGAAGTTAAGCTGGTATAAAAATAAATGTTATAACTTTAAGATGTTAAATGTAATCCACATGGTAAACACAAAGAAAATAGCTATAGAATATAGCTATTCACAAAAGGAAATGAGAAAGGAATTTAAACATTTCACTACAAAAAATCAACTAAACACAAAAGAAGACAGTAATGCAGAAAATGAAGTACAAAAAGTTATAAGGCATATAAAAAAACAAATAGCACAATGACAGAAGTCCCTCCTTATCAGTAATTACTTTAAATGTAAATGGATTAAACTCTAATCAAAAGACAGCGATTGGGGCTGGCCAGGTGGCATAGCGGTTAAGTGCACATGCTCTGCTGTGGTGGCCCGGGGTTTAGATCCGGGGCATGCACTGCACCAACGCGCTGCTTGTCAAGCCATGCTGTGGCAGCGTCCCATATAAAGTGGAGGAAGATGGGCACGGATGTTAGCCCAGGTCTAGTCTTGCTCAGCAAAAAAAGGAAGATTGGCGACAGATATTAGGTCAGGGCTAATCTTCCTCACCAGAAAAAAAAAAAGACAGAGATTGACAGAATGGATAAAAACACATGATCCAACTATATGCTGTCTACAAGAGACTCCCTTGAGATCCAAAGACACAAACAGATTGAAAGTGAAAGAATGAAAAAAGATATTCCATGCAAATAGTAACAAAGAGAGAGCTGAGGTGGGTATACTAATATCAGACAAAATAGACTTTAAATTAGAAAATGTTACAAGAGACAAAGAAGGACGTCGTATGTTAAGGAAAGGTTCACTGCATCAAGAGGATATAATAGTTATAAACATGTACACACCTAATGGCAGACCATCAAAATATATGAAGCGAAAACTGACAGAATTAAAAGGAGAAATAGACATTTCTACAATAATAGGTGGAGACTTCAATACACCACTCCGCTCCATTTTATAATAATGGATAGAACAACCAGACAGAAAATAAGTAAGGAAATAGAAGACTTAAAACAATACAATAACCAACTAGATCTAACAGACATATTCAGAACACTCTACCCATCAAAAGAATACACATTCTTCTCAAGTGCACGTGGAATATTTTTCAGGATAGACCATATGTTAGGCCACAAATTAAGTCTCAATAGGTTTTATTTTTTTTATTTTTTATTTTTTATAATTTTATTTATTTTTCCCTCGAAGCCCCAGTAGATAGTTGTATGTCATAGTTGCGCATTTTTCTAGCTGCTGTATGTGGGATGCGGCCTCAGCATGGCTGGAGAAGCAGTGCGTCTGTGTGCGCCCGGGATCCGAACCCGGGCCGCCTGCATCGGAGCGCACGCACTTAACCACTAAGTCACGGGGCCGGCCCATCAATAGGTTTTAAAAGATAGATGTCATACAAAGTATCTTCTCTGGCCACAATGGGATGAAGTTAGAAATCAATAATGGAAGGAAAACTGAAAATTTCATAAAATTATGGAAATTAAAGAATACACTTTTAAAAATACATCAAAGAAGTCCCAGGGAAATTAGAAAATACTTAAAGGTGAATGAAAATGAAAACACAACATACCAAAACTTATGAGATGCAGCAAAAGCAGCGCTAGGGGAAATATTTGCTATAAATGCTTACGATAAAAAAAATTTTTTTTTCAATGATTAGTTGCACAATAAATGTTCTGGTTTAAAAAAAAAACAAACAAGAAAGATCTCAAATCAAGAACCTTACTTTACAACTTAAGTAAAAAAAAAAAAAAAGAAAAGAACAACAAACTAAACCCAAAACTAGGAGAAGGAAGGAAATAATAAAGATTAGAGCACAGATAAACAAAATAGAGAATAGAAAAACAATGGAGAAAATTGATGAAACCAAAAGTTGATTCTTCAGAAAGATCAACAAAATTGACAGACCTTTAGCTAGATGAACTAAGTAAAAAGAGAGGAGACTTGAGCATCATGGCGGAGTGAGCTTCCCCCATTGAACTCTCCCCTCTAAGACACAAGAAAAAGGACATTCATATTCCAACAGAAGCCATTCACACAACACAGGGGACGTCTGAGGCACCCAGGCAGCCATACACCTGAGGACTAAGGTGCTGGAATCCCCAGAGTAAGTGGAAGGAGGTAAGAGGAGATTCCTTCCTTCCCCAAGGACTGCAATCCAGAGACTGAGACCACGCGTCTCTCAGAGGTGAGGG